AGAGAGAGAGAGAGAGAGAGAGAGAGAGAGAGAGAGAGAGAATGACAGAATCACACTAAGGCACCCCCCTTTAAACCCCTTTAGCCCCTTAAAACCAATTTATACCCCCGCTCCTCCTCCCTTGACAACCAATGCTCCAAAAGAGAAAAACAAGCGGATTTGGGCTCTTCTGTTCATGCTCAGAAAACCTCCCCCCTCTCTCAGGCTCCCCCCCCCCAAAAAAAAAAGAAAGGGCGGATTTTCACCTGCACGGGGCGCCCCATGCAGGTGACCCCCATGCAACTTGCCCGGTCGGACGCCCGGTCGAGCCAAGTAGCCTTACCCCAAATGAGGCCCGGAATTCGTCACAAACAACCCAGAACCACTCAAAACAGGACCACTGGGACCATTACCCAGCTTCGGTTCTAATCCGTTGTGTGGAGAGATATTGTGCCCATGAAAGTTTTTTTTTTTTCCGCTTCTTTCCTTTTCGTGTCCCTATCGTAGGGAGGCAGCTCACCAAGGTCTACCGTGCCGATTGTTTATATATATATATATATATATATGTGTGTGTTAAAGCTATGTTCTTCTCTCAATTTCACCTCACACTACCTACCTACCACTACCCCTAATTGTAGGCATACGGAACCCCGGAGCAGCCAGAACAGTGTTCACGAGAGAACATGCATGCGGGGGCTGCTCCCGACCTGCAGGTGGCCCATACCGGCTGGTAGGGGACAGCCAGTAGCATCAGGGCCATGCCAACTAGACCAATCCCTGTGCCTCCCCTCAGGTGGTGGTCCCCTCTCCTACGAACATCAGCAGACTCTGCTCAATGCCGATTGGGGGATCCAGTGGTGTATCTTTAGGTGGCGGGCCCCAAGCATGCCCAGGAAGGTACACTATGTTCTTCTCTCGAATTCTTTTTTCGCCTTTCACTACCTTCCTACCACTACTCCTATGGTTTTTTTTTTTTTTTTTTTTTTTTTAAAGCTATATTTTTTTCTCAATTTCACCTCACACTACCTACCTACCACTACTCCTAATTGTAAGCATACGGGGAACCCCGTATGCTTACAATTAGGAGTAGTGGTAGGTAGGTAGTGTGACTACTCCTATGTTACCTTGCTCAGAGGGATTGTTTCGCTTCTTTTTTTTCTATCTTCAAGTCCATGGTGCTGTAGAGGCCAATCACTGAGTGCACAGTGATCGCGTGGAGCAGTGGGCCGTGGGTGTCTTTGAATGTGAGACCACCTCCCATCCCATCTGCACGTCAATACTCCTAGCGCACCCCCTATCCCACTATCCTACCTCAGTGTGACCAGCACTCAGGACCATTACCCTACCAATGGGCAGGCAACTTGGACATCGATCTTCAACATCGACGGTCAGACGTAGAGAAACTTTGCAAGCGGGACCTCGCTCTCGAGGCCCCTATGTGAAAACACCACGCGCGTAAGAGAGTTTGCCGATGCGCCGCTGTAAATTCACAGGGAGTATCGAACGAACGAAACCACGTTTGAGCAGCGCGCGTGGGCGTGAGTGTCAGGCGCTTCCGTGCTGTGCGTGTGACGACGGGCGCCTCGAACTGCCCGGCACAGCCCATACGTCCGTAAGGGCAGCACGGTAAGCCTTTGGTCTGCCATCCTCGTCCTCCTACGTTCTCCTCCTCCTCGTCCTCCTCCGTTCTCCTCCTCCTCGTCGTCCTCCTCCTCCTCCGTCTCCTCCTCCTCTTTCTCCCCTTTACGGACATGCACGAAGACAATGTAGCACGCTAAACATTTTGGCTGACCACCTCCTCCTCCGCCATCATGCCCGACAGTACCGATCCCGATGAAACACTCATGCATGCGGCTATGCACGAGCTTCGTCGCAGGACACGACACCTGAGAGCCGTGGAGTATTTCTCCTCCTCTTTACCTTCTCCTTCTCCTACTCCTTTTTTTCCGATCCTAACTGACAGTGTCTTCGTCCTCTCCTCCTCGCTCCTTCTCCCCTCTCCTCCGTCTCCTCCTCGTCGTCATTCCTAAGCTCATTCTTTTGCTCCTCTATCTTTGGCTTCCCTGCTTGCTCTCCTTCTCCCTCCTTCTTCCGTCTCACCTCAGCCGTTTCCCAGCTCCCTTCCGGAAATAGAGCGCGAGTCGAGGAGAGGATATTACTATAGCTTACTCCCTCCGAACATGACGTCCTATATTAAAGATGGTTATACTTCATAACTTCCTTTATTAATCATGGCTATACTTTCATGACTTGCTATAATCATGCCTATATACTTTCATTTCTTTCTACAATCATAGCTATACTTTCATATCTTCCTATAATCATAGCTACTATACTTTCATGACTTGCTGTAATCATAACTACTATACTTTCATTTCTTCCTATTATCATAGCTACTATACTTTCATCACTTCCTATAATCATAGCTACTATACTTTCTCGACTTCCTATTATCATTGCTTTATGCCTATACTTTCATGGTCAGGATTGAGTCTGTACCCATCCTCGATAGTAGATGAGGGAGTTTTTGCTAATGTTTGGGGGAATCACGTACGAGCGGATTACTGCGCTCACGACGGCCGAGGTTACGAGGTAGACTCTGAGATTGATTGATTGATTGATTGATTGATTGATTGATTGATTGATTGATTGATTGTTCGTTTTGCCGGACGTGAATGGTGAGCGTTTTTTTTTTTTTTTTTTTTTTTTTTTAAACGAATGGAGAGCTACGACATAACAGCAAAGTTTTCGGTAAACCAAGAGACTTCAAGCTACCAGCTACTGTCTACACTTCTAAACACCCCACCTAACTCGGTAGGTTTGGACCCCGGTACCTGGCATGGCTGCTGCTTCCACCTTCAGTCCCTCTGCCCATCTCCTGCGATTGTTGCTACGGAGCACAAGGTAGAACACAAACTTCTCAATTACCAACACCACCCTACATCCCTAGTACCAAGTTTCTAGAAGAACCAATGTGTAACTGCATCACCCCCGGTTGAGATTCTCTACTGCACTTACATCCCGCTCCACCCTTCCGTACATCCTGTTTTCATTCGTTGTAAAGCCAGGAGTTCACGTTCAGTTGCCCTGTGGGGAGATAGACGCCAATTTCTGTCCTTTGCACCAAGTCTCGTTGAACCATTGTTTGCCTTTCTCGATGTTGTCTGCCTTTGACACTTTCCTTCTCCAATCTGCCAAAACAGCCACCCGGAGTTGTCTACCGCAGAAGCTCCTACAGTAGGGATGGGTAGGAGATGGGGCTACGTACTAGATCAGGAGGACAGATGTAACTGTTTTGAATTGTTAGGTTTTTGTAGGCCTGAGGCAAGCTTTCTTTCTTTTTTTTTTTTTTTTTTTTTTTAAATGCATGTCATCCTTGCGCAGGGGCCATGCTAATCTTCTCTGTATCGTTCCAATTTTAACGGATGTCCCGAAGGACTGCAAGCTTTCTTTTTGTTTCTGTTGTTTGTTTTTTTTTGGCTTGTGTTGGGTTTTGTGGCCATGCTAGTTTTTTTTTTTTTCCAGGGTTGGGATGTGTCAGGGCAGCGGTCTTGATTTGGCCATTCTGCCACTAGACCACAGTGTCCCAAGGCCTGCACCTAAGCTGGGGAATGGTCCCAGTAACAAATTTTCCTTTCTTTTTTTCTCTCCGGGTTGTGATTTGAGGATTTCCCGGCCTCTACTTTTTGTGTGGTAATAAGAATGAGCAGAGTTTACTTGTAAGAAAAAAAAAAAAAAAAAAAGTTTTCGGTAAAGGGCCTCTCTCAACTACTCATCATATGCACGAAAGAAAAATAAATATGGCGGTGTATGTTTCCATGTTCTAGCGGAAGATTCGTTCTCATTTTGCACATTAATTTTTTTGGTGAGTAGTGCACCGAGGCCCAAAGATAGAAAAGTTTTGTGGTGTTCTTTCCTCTCTCCTATTGCCCTCTGTTGTGAGGTTGCACCAGCAGCAGCCCCCGATAGTGGCCCTGTCCTTCGGGGACTTTTCTTTTTCTTTTTTCTCTTTGTTTTTCTTTTCTCTTTTTTTTTTAAAAAAAAGAAAAAAAAGGGCGACGGCCTGTAGATATCATCGTCGAACTGATCGCCCCCAGGTAATTCAGAATTCCAGAATTATTTTATTTTTTTGTTTGTCAAGTTGCATCATCTGGGTGCGAACTCGGGTCTGTATTTCAACAGTTCATGGGTGTACCACCTACTTAGTCAATCCACACAAAGTCGACGATTCGAGTCGTCTGCATACACAAAGCGTGGGTGTACCACCTACTTAGTCAATCCACACAAAGTCGACAATTCGAGTCGGCTGCATACACAAAGCGTACTCGTATGACAAGTGTAAAACTGTTAAAACATTACAGTGATTAGTACACAATTTGAACCTTGAAGTAGTGCAGTCGGCAGGTTCGGCGTTCCCTAGAGTAGACCTGGAGTAGAGGAGCACGCCCATTCTTTTTTATGTAGGATATTATTATGTAGTATATTACAATATAATGTCTAGGATGTATGCAAACCCCACGGGCTGATGTTACCTTCTTGCCCCGAACACAACGCCCGGCGGTCGGAATTGCTGTGTTACAGTATGTTTACTCCGATGACCGACCGTCTTCACCCGAATAGAACGGCCGGTCATTATCGCAGGCAGTATCTGGACGGAAAGTTGCTCCGAATACGGCTATAATGACCGGGCGTTCTATTCGGGTGGAGACGGTTACCGTAGCAACGGCACGCATTAGTAAACGCTTTGAATTTCACGAATATGAAGTTACTGCATCAACCTTTCGCTAAATGGATAATGAATTTCGAGGAAAACCAATTTTTGTTTTCGTCATGATGTCTGTTTCTTATTCTCCTTGTTCAGTTAAATGGATCCAAGTTATCAACCAACTTATTTCAATTTCACCTAGGCTACCAGCCAGGCCCCCCGGGTCGCCTTGTTTGCCCGGGCGGCCCGGCCGTGCAAGGGCCAAAGAGAGTCCCAGAAAAAAAAAAAAAAAAAAAAAAAAAAAAAAAGAACCCCTCCAAAAATCCGAAAAACAACTGTGTTATGCAGAAGAAAAAAAAACCTGAACAACTGCCCCAGGGT